AGGTGTGTGTGGGGTGGAAAGCTGAAGAGTGAGGGGGAAATAAAGGTAGGTTGATGATTGGCTGGAAAGGAGATAGGGTTGTCAACTCCAGGTGGGAAATTCCTGGAGATGTGAGGGATGGAGCCTGGAGAGGGTGAGGTTTCAGGAGGCGTGGGACCTCGGACAGGTACAAAGCCATAGACTCCACCCTCCAAACCAACTATTCCGTTCTGGGGAACCATCGTTGTCAATCTCCTGGTGAGGACTGGAGATCACTCAAAATTACAACTGTTGTTTTGGTAGCAGAGATCAGTTCCTCTGGAGAAAATGGTGGACTCAGTGTCATTATACCCTGCTGAGGTCGCCACAGCAAATTGACACTGAATGTCCAAGGCCGGGGCACCCACCCAGAACCTCTTTCTAAGCTCGTTGTATTTATTTCCACAACGGGCCTTTTTCCTAGTAGGATTTAAAACACAATGAAAAGGTAACAGAAATTATTTTTGTCTCTTTGCTCCCATACAAAAATGAAATAAAAATTACAGGAAGTCCCAGAAGTGTACAAGACAGAGAGGGCTAGAGAAATAGCACATGGCTCTTCTGTCAATGACTTGGCCATGGCCTTGTTCTGTGGTTCTTGGAGATGATGGGAGGATTTAAGCATTTTTGAATCCGTGGAGAGGAACAACTGAGAGGAGACATCATATTTGGCAGTCACCAGACCCCCATCCAGACCTAATTTAGATAGCTCTCCTAAATAAAATCTAGGAAAAAGAGACCTTTTCCAAAGCAAGGCAACAAAAGCCCCCCCCCAAGGATTAATGATGCAGATTTATAATTCAAAAACAACCCCCAAAAATCTTTTAATCTGGGTCTAGTGTGAAATGGTGCTCACTAGCAAGTCTTTGTTGCTAGTTACCTATGCTCCCCTTCCAATCAAAAAAACCCTTACCTTTGTGGGGGAAAATGGTGGTGATGGCTTGCTATTTACAAATCCCATAATGAGTGTCCTATGGAAATGATGCTCTCAGTGCAGCAGCATCACATCCTTCTGGGATCATGGGATTTGTAGGTTCTTCATCTCCTGACTGACTTTTAGTATTCTCTGCCTACTAGCTCAACCCAGGAGCCAGGAAAGTCATAAATACTATGATCACATTCCTGATTAGTTATGGGATTTATATACAGCAACCCTTCTAATCACTGGCCGCCCTCTCGCCTTTCTCAAAATTGGGATTTTTTTTCTTGGTAAGAGGTAGGGGACCAATTGTCAGGGAGAACGAAACAAATTGTGGGTTTCTCTTACCAAACACTTGAAGTCTTGCGGTTTTTCAGCATTCAACTGAAAATCTAAAAAAATACCCCACTTGTTTTTGAGATGACAAGGAGATTTGCACACCACTACAAAACATAATGCAAATTCAGCATGGATTGCTTTTAAAATTATTATAATCCTGTGCACCTTTCCAATATGACAGACTATTCGCTCTTGAAGCTAGTATATGGCCGTAATGGGCACAAGAAAGAGAAAAACAATATCCAATAGAAGACAAAGACTATAAGAAATCAAACAGGAATGGAGATGCCAGAGGATGGACCGTAGAAGACAGACAGAGGGAAAGGTAAAGAAAGGCCAAAATGTGAAAGACCAGGTATTTCATTAAAAAAAAAAAAACTTTTATGTACCAAAATGTCATTTCTCTGATCTCCCCAGGGCCTTCCGAGAAAATCCAATGGGATTTAATGATCCTATTAGGGGCCGTTACAGACCCCCATCAGTAGACACCAGCCATAATAGTGCAATGTCACAGCCGTGCTTTAAAAGACTTTGTATATAATGATGTGGCTTCATTTAGACAAGTTAAACTTTTTTAGAAGACCAGCTCACTCTGAAGGACTGTCTGGTCATTTTACAGTGCATTCCTATTAATGCAATGGATTTAGGACTGGAGTAACTCTGGACAGGACTCTCTGCATTGCCCCTCGTCCTACTGCCTCTTCCCCTTTTATAACTCATACTGGCAAGTTAAAAAGGTAAAGGTTCCCTTGCTCAAAAGCCAGTCGAGTCCGACTCTAGGGTTGCGGTGCTCATCTCCGTTTCAAAGCCGAAGAGCCAGCGCTGTCCGAAGACGTTTCCGTGGTCATGTGGCCGGCATGACTAAACTCCAAGGCGCACGGAACGCTGTTACCTTCCCACCGAAGTGGTACCTATTTATCTACTTGCAATTTCTTGCTTTCGAACTGCTAGGTTGGCAGGAGCTGGAACTAGATACAGGAGCTCACCCCGTCTTGCGGCACCCGGGTCTTGAACCGCTGAACTACTGACCTTCCAAAGCCTGCAGTTCAGTGTCTTAACCACTTGAGCCACCGCAGCTCCTACTGGCAAGTTACCTAGGCCCATATTGTTGGTCTCAAGGAGCATTCCTCCAAATTAAGTGGCTCACTTAATTCCGCTGTATTGAGCCCCTTTCAAGCTACACTGCACAGTGCATAAGCAAGACAAAATGTTTATATTACTTTTGCAGGTATCCTTCAGGATGTTCACTACAGAGGGGCTGGGAGCTGCCGCAGAGTGATTTAACCTTTGTCAATGCAAATGACCCAGCACCATGAACTGTATGTATAAAATCACATATCTAACCCCGGCTTAATTAACAGAATCATATTTTGACTATACAGGTAATGCAACAAGAAGTCAAGGTGTTGCAGTGAATGTTCTTCAAAGCTCTAACACAATTAGAAGGCTGTGACACTTGAACAGCAAAGGTTAATTGAGGCCACCAGAATGCAGTAATTCCTTACCTAACCAGTCATTGAACTTCTTAACCTCGGAGGGCAGCCCCAACTCAGTGAAATCGCCCGTGTGAAGCAAGATGTCCCCATAAGGCATCTGGATACCATCTGTTCTGGAGTGTGTGTCTGAGATGCAGACAAACCGTGTGTGTCCTGCTGGTTTCGGGGTGTCGTATGGAATAGGGTCGACCCTAAAGCAAACATAAGAGATCTCATTAAAATGAAACACGCTACTAACGTTCAACATATTTGGCACAGTCTTGTCACACTGCAGACATACTGCCTGCAGGCTGAAGATTCCCACAAAGCTCCAAAGTTCCCCTTTTCCCCTCCTATGTATGTAAGCTCTTTAAGATGTTAAGAATGGGAAACGTGTGCATATCTCACACATCCTCATCTAGCTCTTCATATCTCCTCAATACAAACTACGGTACTCATGCTCAAGCAAAAATAACATGCACCAAGTTCAGAAGAAAGGCTGAGTGGAGACTGGGGGTGGGCAACACATATTTCCAGTTCCCCCTGAAGTTCCAATATACTGTCTACATATGCGCTCATGCACACGTATAGGAAGATATAATGTGAAAATCAGGGCACTATTAAACATTATGGGAATCCACATGCAGACATTAGACCAGTGTTATTAATGCCCACTATTTCATAATATAAACGCTGATATATATCATGTCCCTACACACTAACATATAACATTTTATAGAAAGAGAAATAGATACTTCACATTTTGATATACATCTTGTTACACAATCATATTAGTCCCTTACTTAGCCAACTGTGTCTATGGAATTTTACATTTTTTACATCACGGCAATGGCAAAGGAATTGTTAACTCATTCGGCATCCTGATGCAAAAGATACAAACTTTCCTAATTCCATCTGTTCACATCGCAGTTAAGTCCCCTCCCCAGGCACCCCCCCCCATCTCACCAGAAATTTACAAGGCTGGTGTTGGCAACATCCCCAAAGTATACAGAAACCCTGAACTTTCTTCCTTTCCCCTTTGCTGTTTTTGCAATTGGTACTCAAACATGGAATCTGTTAGCAGAGGAAATGATTATATGTATTTTAAAGCGAAGCACAACAACAAGTAGATTGACTTGTATCTCATATAATTGCTTAGCAAATCTTACATGCTGAGGGTAAAGTATTGACAAGTGGTAAAAAGTGAATCCTTGAGCTTGTTTGGAGGTTCTAGCAGGGGAGCACAGCTATCGTATACCCTTGGCCGAAGAATGGTCGTCCTCTCCAACAGAACAGCCACCTCTTCGGAGGAAGTCTCCTCAGGCAGGAGAAAAACTTCAAACTTTGATGGGTGGGGCGTTTAGAATACAGGCCAATATGATGTAGTGCTTAGACCAGGACTGGGGAGATATGGGTTCAATCCCTACGTGGACTTCAAACTCACCGTGAGACAGTTCAGGCTACTCACTCTCTCAGCCTAACCTACCTCACAGGGAGGTTGCAAGATTAAAACGTAGGCAAGAACCATGTATATTGGCCTGAACTTGGGAAAATGTCATTAAAATAAGTAAATAAAATGCAACATACAATTTATAGATTCTTCCCTTACTGTGTTCAGAAATTAATAGACTGTTTCCACAGACAAAATATGTTCCTAGATTGCCAGTACAATTGTGATTATACACAGTAGCAGGTTTATATTTTCTGCCTCCCTTCCCATCTTCTGTAATAACAAAGAAAAAAATGGGGAGGGGGAATCACAATGTGGCTTTCTATGGCTACAATCTTATCCCCGTCAAGAGTATGTCCTTCAGAAAATGAACTCCTGTTTTCAGTGCTCTAGCCTACCTTGTTCAGGTCTGTCTATATGCATTAGAGATGAATAGATTCATCAGACTTGTGGCACCCCTACGCTTATATATTCTTACTATAATTCCCTTGCTTCCTTGTTGCTCGTTCCCAAATACATTTGCTATTTTCAATTTTAAAGCTTTTTCCCCCCTACGGGGGGAAAAAGTATTAGTGGTAATAGATGAATAAACATTATTTTCCACAGCAAGCATAAAATAACATAAATAGGGAGAAGTATTTCCAATATATTTATAATCTGTTCATTTTTTTCCTGCTAAAAATGTACTAGTATGGTAGGATTTGTTAATTTTTTTGTGCCTTGAGCATTCAAAAGTTTAACATGTGAAGCTAATGCAGAAATAAAGTGATAGAGAAAAACATGCTTTATGTCATACTGCTTTTACAGGTGTAGAAGGGCAAGTTAAAAAGTTTGCAGTCCTAACATGTAGCCATTATGTGTTTCCTCTTATTTCTGTCACTGAATAGTCCTCCTGTCTCTTCTGTTACTTCTTTCCAATTATCATGGTCAGTAGCTCCCAAGTTGGCCACACCCAAGTAGGAACTCATTAGCATAACAGGCCACACCCAGCAGTAGAAACTTATTAGAATTGGCTATATTAGAGGTGTGTGGCCTAACATGCAAAGGAGTTCCTGCAACAAAAAAAGCCCTGGGTTTTGACAACAAACAAGGTAAACAGAATAAGAAGCAAAAGGTGGGTGTGGCTGGATGACCACACTTCTGGTAACATGGGGGTGTGGCCTAATATGTGAATGAGTGGTGCAATCAGGGGTGTGGCCTATTATGCTAATGAGTTCCTGCTGGACTTTTTCTACAAAAAAGGCCCTGCTTAATCCTAACACTGACACGTGAAGAAACACCATGAAAGTAACATGGAAGTTCTGTTCTTACATCGAACATATTTTCCATACAATAACTTTCTTTGTTGGTAAAGGCTGAGAAGTGAAAACACCACTGAATAAAATAGTGTTTTCTTCTGAGCAGACTTGCTTAAGATTGCTCTCAAAGCCATGTAGCTTCATCTGCTCGGTCAGGCACTATTAACTATGCACACCTCTATTACACATTCATGGTGCTTTTTGATTACATCCTTTTTGTATTTTGTGCAGTGTCTACCTGAGCATTTTTTTAATTATCCAAAATGTATTTGTTGATCTAAAGAGTTTCCTCAGCTTGGGAATCTGGGGCAACTAAAAAGAACACCTCACAAAGCTGCATGAAATCACAAAACTTAGAATTATCTAGCAGCAAAACAATGCAGCTGATCCATCTCCAGGCCTCCCTTTCCAAAGGAAGAGGGAAAGCAGTAAGGAGAAATTCAAGGGCTGCAAACAAGATAAGGGCTGGAAAGTTTCTCGCTGAGACGATATCAAATCCATCAGCCTCTGAATGTTACAGCCATCATCAAGAAAAAATGAGCAATGTCGCAATCAACGATATAGGCCTGCCCACTTTCCACAAAAGGCATCATAGTATGATGCTAGAAGCATTTGACTGGAAAGTTAGAGCAGCTGAACATCCAAAATGATTGAGAGTACAGAAGACTAGTACTGCTGTGACGGTTCTCATACTTTTTTTTTTTTTAAAGCAAAGGGCCTCCATATGAAGTACAATAAACGTTATGGTTTCACTGAATAGCCCTAATTTGAGAAGGGCCTTATTCATCTGCTTCAGTCATATTAACCAAGAAACTTGGGGCATTTTAAAGACTAATACATGTATTGTGGCATAAACGTTCAGGAGCTTCATCAGCGTGACAGATCCTAGTATGGCCAGCAAAAGGGCAACTGAGAAAATGTTATAGGAAATGTATGTCTGTGTGTTATTTATGGCTGCTGTTGCCAAAAGGAACAAACGAGAACTCTGTTAATATATCTCTTCCCGCTGCACACCACCATCCCTCATCCCCCTATAACAGCACTGTGGGTGAGAAGGCTCCCTTTTCTATCTCTTTCTTCCCAGTTTGGATGGTTGACCGTGGAATAGCATAGGCTGGGATGGGATGGAGGGGGAAGACAGCAGTTAGAGGCAAAAGAGCAGAGAAAACTACTGCATCTAGTCTGTGTGACAGGCAGCTAATTTGTCTGCAGTCTCTGAGAGAATGGGGGGTGCATAAGAAGGCCTAGTTTCCCTCCCCCAACACACACACACACCCCTGAACAAACACCAAAGAGTTTAAAGCTCCAAGATGAGCATTCCACAATAAAAGACAAAGGGGGGGGGGGTTCACCGGCGCCTGAGAGTTTTTTAACAGACTCCATCTTACATCAAAAATAGTTTTTCCATGGATGCAAGGATTTCTGCCCACAAAGCATGATTTTCTCACCTCCAATTCTGTGGCAGCCTGAAAAGGTCCCCAAAAAGGGGGACCCTCAGGAACAAGATTTCAGGGGACATTTCAAGCTGCTATGGGAAGGAGAAACAGGGTTGCCCTCCCCCCATGGGGTGGGGGTTCCCCTGCTTTTGGGGCTCCCAATCTGCCGCTGCCCAGCTGGTTGACAGGGGAGCTCCACCCCCAAGCAGCCCCGTCCATGCCCAACATGAAGGCGTCACCTAGAGGTGACGTCATCGTGCAGGGCAAATGCTATAGCGTCCCCTGCATGATGACATCACTTCCAGGTAATGTCATCATGCCGGGCATGTTGGGTGCATGCCAGAAGACTGAAGCCCCCTGCCAGAACATGGTAAGGACTTAGCAACCCTAAGAAGAAGAAAAGGGGAAAAAAGCTTCACAGGCAGAAATCCTTGTACCTACAGAAACACTAGTCTGGAGCCTGTGCTTTGTATGCTGTCTTGCAAACAAACCATGGCCCCTGTCACACGGGCAGGAAACTGCAGAGGAGAAGTGTGGCTGTTTGCCCCGGGGCAAACTAACATGCAGTAAAGCGATCAGACCTACTGTGGAGGTTCTGTGGAGGTACTGTGGAGGTTCCATGGCAAGGGAGAGGTGCCGATCACAACACACGCCTGCGCGCAATGAAGAAGCGCGCGGCGCGGCGAACTGGTTTTCTTTTTTTGTGTACACTACGAATGCGCATGCTCCGTTGGGTGCGTGTGCGCATCCACGGAGACGTGGGGAAAAAAAACCCCTTTTCCGCAAGGGGACATGGGCGGGCGCCGGATACCACCGGAAACGCGATCAGACGCCCGCCCTTGCCCCGCAGTTTCTGGAAACTAGTACCTCCAAGGTACTAGTTTTTTGCTGCGCTTTTTCGGCAGGAAGCCTCAGTTGTGCCACGGAAGCGCTACGCTTCCCAGATGTGCTGGTGAGATCGCGACCGGAAACTCCGCTTGTCTTCCGTATCTCTTGCGTGGCTAATGTTGCGTGTGACCGCAGCCAGAGAAGATCTGCCACAGCAGTGCTACTCAATAGCTTGGGAGCCACATGCGGCTCTTTCCCATGTCACTTATGGCTCTTTCTGGGCATTGTTGCTCAATAGGCACCTGCCTTTTGTTCCAGAAAAGTAAGGAGGACATTGCCCTATAGGACTTGTGGCTAGCATGTGGTTCAAATAATCATTGTTGCTGAGAGTGGAGAACAGGCCAGCTGCTAACCTTCCTGACCAGCAAGCCTTATGCCAAAGATCCAAGTAAAAGGCTCATCCTTCTCCAACAACTCCTTATGCGTTTCTGCTGCCTTTGCACTCTCATCCCAGTATCAGGGAAGCAAACTGGCCACAGAAAACAAGAGAATACAACTGCCACCACGGCAAGTACAGGGGAAGAGAGCCTGCTGTCCACACTGGGATGGTGGTGGCTTTACTCCCCTTTCTCCAGGACTAGCATGCTCTCTTGGTAGTTGCACACAGTCATCTGAGCTGCTGTGCCTCAAGCTGAGGAAAATGAGAAGGCAGAGAACCTTTCCTTTCACTCCAGATACATAAAATTCAACAGAGGCGAGGAGAGACAATCCTATATACTCATAAATAATCTGGTAATTTAAAAGGTTATTGTTATATATTTAAAGTAATCTGGTCATTTAAAAATGATAGCTACATAGCTAACATTGATAGCTATTATCTTACATTATTTTATGTGTGTGCTTGGTGGGGTGACATATAGGGCACACAGTAGCCATGTGGCTCTTTTGGTGGTGATATAGACTGGGCTCTCTGCAAGTTGCAAACTGATTACCACTGTGACAGGCTTGTTTTGCTAAGAAAGGGATAAATAGTGGATATTAAATCCCTGTGTAAGTAGTTTATATCTGTAAGGGATGGAAGCTGTTATATTTCACAGTGTTCCTGATGGTATAAAGGTAGTCTCTCAGACTATTCGAATAGTTCATAATCTCTTTTCGCCATTAAACTTTAAACAAATGCAATATGCTCCAGTGCCATGCCTTGCAGTTAATTATATGTGACGGAGGGGACAGCAACAATAAATTCCCTTTGACCTATCACTTCCTATAAGCATGGTTTTCAGCTTTACAAGATAATGTTAAACCCTATGTTGTATGGTAACTCATGTTAAGTACATGCCAGCTTCTGTAAACTAGTATCTTCTATGCCCCAAAGGAGTAACACTCGCTAGGATAATTTTAAACCAAGAGAAAAAAACATTTGAATAAAACAGTAATCCAAACAGGTATAATCAGGAATTTCATCCATGTTGACATCAACTAGTTGAACTTCAAAATATCTGCTAACCCTTTGATCGTGGAGCAGATTAGAGGTATTGAGGGGTTAATTGACTTTCCCAATATTATACAGTATCAGTAGCCAAAATCGGAAACAAAATGCAATAGCAGTGACCCTCACTCCCCCACTGTAACTAGTAGAGACCCTTCCCCTCTTAATGTACTTTAAGCATTAGGTCAGGAATATTACCTACACATGCAGAATTCTTCATACCACTAAACCAGAATCTTAGACCCTATAAAACAGAGGACAGTCCCATCCCTAGTGTAATTGTAATGATCTGAATTAAGTGCCTGCAGGTTACAGCAAGTAAAGGATCTGTTTCCAAGAGGAGTAACACTGACAGGCTCTTAACCCTAACCTCCTTGGCAACTCTAACAGTCGTAAGAGTGTCTTAATGAACAAAATAAAATGGCATCAGTTCAGAGCTTAGAATAATGAATTGAACTTCATTTGCTTTGTTATAGGGTGGCACTTGAAGATGGCACAATTACTGCAGTACCAAATGAACTGGGGATAGCAAAGGAGGGCAACAGAAAGGATTCATAATCTTGATGGGCTACTAAGGGCTTGTTCCAATCATCATTTTAAATGATGCAGTAGAAAACACCATCCCAGTAATTAGGGTTCTCAAGTACCTACCTATGATCCGGCGGGGGGCACATGCTTCCCCGCTGGAAGATTCTTGCTTGGAACACAGGCGCTGCACTATTCCATTGCCCAGATGTGGCGTAGGCACGTAGCTGGGCGACGCTCTGGTAATGGGGCTGGAAACTCAATGGTACCATGGAGTTTCCAGCCCCATTGCTAGAGCGTTGCCCGGCTACGTGCCTACGTCACATCTAGGCGACAGAATAGTGCAGCACCTGTGTTTTCCCCGCGGGAATGGTCCCGCGAAGAATGATACATCCCCCGCCGAATTAAGGTAAGTACTTGGGAGCCCTGCCAGTAATGGGCTATTTAAAAAAAAAACAAAAAACCTGGCCCTTCTTCCGGGCACTTCAGACCAGGCTATGTACCTGGTCTCCCTTCCTCACAACAACCTTGTGAAGGAGGTCAGATTGAGAGAAGCCACTCACCCAGGTCTCCCAGTTTATTGCTACGTGGGAACGTGAAACCATCACTCACCCTACCCACTAGACCACGCTGGCACATATCACATATATACCAAGGAGCCAGTATTATGTAGAACAGGGGTGTCAAACATGTGGCCCACAGGCCAGAACCAGCAGGGCTCCTATCCAGCCCACAAGCAACTGGCTCTTGTCTGCTTCCTACTTCCTATTCCTACTTCCTTGTTCCTGCATCACAGCTTGCTTCTTCCCAGCAGTCTCCTCTCCTGCTTTCTGTTTCACAGAGGAGAGAAGAAATCCAAGCCTCCT